GTACAATTGTGAGATTTTAAAAATGTGTTATATAGAATTCGACTCATTAAATCTATATTCGCATTGGCTTAAACTGAACAGGAGTCGAACAATGTAGTTACGCACAGATTTTAGTCAGCAAACAATTTCTTCAATGTAATCAAACGAATTTCTTCTTCCTATTTTCTATTTGATATAAAACTGGCACTTACATTTGCATTGTTTGCTTAAGACATTTGCATAGTACTGGCAACTTTAAAAGACGGCCAAACAAGCGCTTGTTAGCCCAATTTACGGATCTGTTGAAGAGGCCTTGCCAACCTTCGGAATGCAATTCGATACAATTATGTGTCTAATGAACTGGGCGATTGAGGGTGTTTTAGTAAATTCGTGTAGAGCGATATAAAGGATCGCTTGTGCGCAGATCAAAAGCGAAACCGAGACGAAGACCACCAAGCCAAATGAATTTTCCGCTTTGATCCTGCCGTGGCCGCTCACCATTGTAACTGCTAATCGCACCAGGTGACGGATGCGTCGGCTTCTCGGGCACCCAGGAACTGGGATATACAAGTATAGTAGTGACAAGGGAATAGTTCGGAGGTGTCTCTTTTCATGCGCCCGAGCATTGTGCGAAAAGTAGCAGTTTCCTCTTCTCCGATCCTCGCTTGGGCCGCCCTTTGTGATCTATGTGGGTAGTCCTGCGTGTCCTTTCTCTCCGTGGGCCACGAATATTGTTGCATAGACACTTTCAATTTGCTTTCAAATTGCCGACAAATTGGCCTTAGCCAGGGCCACCAACAGTGATTGCCCATCGTGATTTCCAACCATCTAAGAGCTCTGACTAGAGCTCACACTACGCTTAGTAGCTTAAACTATCTGGAGCCAAAGTAGCAGCTCTCGCACATATGGCTGCCGATTTGCAACGCTTCTCCGATTCTTTGACCCGAAAATTGAAAGGATCTGAAACGAGGACAGGATCAAGCCAGAACGTGTATCCCATTTGAAACGGTTGATTGGGTTTCTAATAGGATTTATGTGCTGCCTGCATCTTTCTCGTTTCGAATTGATTCGTTGCACTCGGTTGAGATTCAATAATGAGCTCATCTGTTCGATAGAATGCGTTTGTTTTCATTTGCCAATGTTCCAGGTAATCCAGCCAGGAAATTTCAATTTCTCCGCTATCATTTTTTTCGCTTCCATGTTTATTTAGGATGTTAATTGGTAATTGGCCCACTTCATGATAACGAATTTTGGTCTTAGCTGGATTTCTGTAGCAAAATAAAACAAATATTTGAAAGTAGCGCGGATCTGGTAAAAGGTGTTTAAAGCTGTGTACTTCTTATGGATTTAAAGATATTAAAAGAATAATAATAATATTAGTACTTTCTGTTTGATTATATGATTCCCTTAGCTTATTAGCTTATTAGCATGAATAAAATTAAACTAACCTTTTTTATTGTTGCCCACTTGTATAAGGAATTCCGATAGATTATAATTTTGTGTATATCTGCAGTTAATGACTTTCAAAAGACTCAGATGAGTTTAAATTTAAAATATAATCCCAAAAGACATTATTCATAAGCCAGAGGACTTAAAAACCAAAACGTGGGTCTGGTTCGTGCATATGTACCTACATATGTAAATCGCTTTACAATTTGACTTGATATTTATGATCTTTCATTATACCAATATTATTAACAATAATTTCTCTTTCACCATATCTCCATTTGACTTGGCTGCCTACCCTGAAAAGAGCATAATCCCTACCGTTTGCTTATTTTGAATAATTACCAAAGTATTGTTCGCTTGCAAGCCGAAGAGAAATCCTTTTCACGGGACTGCTCATTGTTCCGCCACTGAACATAAAATGAGGAAAACTAATTAAAATTTAAAATCCAGCAAATTAGAAAATCGCATCATTATAACTGAGCGTATAAAAAAACAAAATTTTATAGCATCATGTATGTGAATACTATTTTAACAGTAAAGTAAAGTATTTTTCAGTAAAGTGAAATATTTAACGCAACCCTACGATTGTTCATTTTTCAAAATGAATTAAATTTATCTACAACAATTACAACCAGAAAGGATTTTTTGTACAATCCTATATACGCTTGAAGTATTTATATATGATCAAAAAGAATGAAACTATAATTTTGTTTCTCAAATTTTCAATTGATTTCCAACTGTTCCTCAGGCAGATGCAGGTTATAATCATCTGATTTCAAAAATAATAAAATCGAAAATATATATTGTAAAGAACGGGGGTATACCGCATTATTTTATTGAGTTAATTGATTTTTTTTTAATATTCCAATGGTCTAGTTGATATGGTCTAGTTAAGCTCATTCCGACTTATGAATATAAGTTACCTGCAATGGAAAGAAAGTCTTCATGGGAAAGTTTCATACAGATAGTTTTAAAACTGACTGACCAGTTTTCGTAGAAACGGATCGGCGGACTTGGCTATATAGAATCTGCTATTGATACTGATCAAGAACATGGCGACTTTATATGGTTGCCAACTCTATCATCAACTCCATGATTAGGGATTAATCATTTTAAAAAATGTATGACAAGTTTTTATATAAGTATTTAAAAAATTGACCGAAAACTAACCTTTTACCTATATTTTTTTGTTAAATTTGTAGTGCTCCAAAAAGTGATTATAACTGTCTCGTTTCTTACGTCTTTGAATGCCTTATTATTAATTCGTTAAGTAATCTTCAAGCATTTGAGGACAAATTTAGATTGGCGTAGTAATTTCAATTTGCACAGAGAACGTGCTTGGTTCTAAGAAATCTTATTTTGCTTTATTCTGAATAGAACTTTTGCTTCGGTTATATTTGGGCAAACGTTTGGAACGAATTGATTCGCCTTAGAAGTTGGCGACATTGTCGCCAAAATACAATTATTCATCGGGCACGTAACTGACTTTTCAGCCAAAAATAATAGAAAAAGAAAAATAAAGAAGACTTTGCAGTGCAGTAATTGTGCCCAGAAATGTTCAGGCGTTGCAAATTGGAATGTGCACTATAGGATGTAAAAGGATCGGGGGTGTATTTGTGGACATGCAACGTTACTCTGACTCTACATCCCTCAAAAAATGTCCTACAGACAAAACCCATGCTGAGTCCTTTTCGGGACACAAAAAGATCCTGCACACTTCTGCTGCTCCTAAGCGATCCGTACTTCTTGTTCGGGTCACGTCACGGTTTTTACCGCCGTAGCCATTTGACATTTGACAATTATTCATTTTTCGTTTTAGTCGTTTTATTCCTTAGAAATAAAACTCGGCCGCATCGCTGCGAATCGATTGGTTCCAAATCGTTGCAATTCAATTGCGAGTTGCCTTTTTGGCTTTTGGCATCCTGTTACCATTACCATTTCGTTTCAGCTGTTCGACACGATCTATTTGGTGTTTTACGCTCATTTCGGGATGAACAAAGTTTCAGCCTCGGAATGTGAAGAGTTTTGGTTATGCGTGAATCGGAGTAAATCGAAATACTCCTACGAAATGATACGGTGGAAATCGCAATTTTCACGTTAATCCTAATTATCCTTCCAACTTAATTGCTTAATTAGAAGACTATTCGAGTCTGGTGTGTCGCAAAGGCTGAACCGAAGGTGTTTTTACGCAATTGGTAGAACGAATTTGATTTCGATATCAGTTCTTCTGGGGTGGTATATTAATAAAACAGCGTGTCTTAATGAAAACAGGATAAGATTTGTGGTATCAACGTCGGCTTTTATGTTTGATTCTTTCCCGAAGGCTCTATACTTTTTATCTCACGAGGATAAGATAGGAAAGGCATCGCTCCCATTAATATAATGAAGTCTTTGAATATTTCAAGTAATTAGAGCAGAGATATCTCTGTTAATACGGCGCATCAATGGCTTCAAAGATTTTACCCGTAATACCATTACGTTATAGCAAAGCCACACATAAAAATTACGTTGGGTTAAATTTACATAATAGTCCTATACTTTTTATAGGTAATCTTACGGGACTAGTGTAGTCCTTATCATTGCGTAAATGAAGGTGAAATGCTCTAGGAAAATATTTAAATAAACATTCGATGTCAACCGAATAAAAACACAATATGATTAAAAACAGCGAAAACAGTTCATTTCAGTATCATTTATATTATTATTATCCGACTCCGATCCCATGAGAGCAATATGATATAGTCGTCCGATTTTAATCAAATTAATACCAAGATTATATATTGTTAGAACTGGTCATAATTATAACACTTTATAATAAAAAACCAAAGAGGGTAACTTTTTCCATTTCTAACTTATATTCTACTTCATGTTAGATACATTGGTATATCGTGTCGGTTGTTAATTCCAATTAATAATATATCTACCTCATATGCAAACTTCTGACTGAAATCGACAGATAGCCTCTGCAAAGTATATAAGTCGTATATTTATCAAGGAATCGGGATATTAGAATAAAAATTTCAATTGTTTTAGTATTCTGAACTTGATTTATATTAGGCACTTTAGAAACTAATTACAAACTTATTAATTTTTTATTTTGATATACAAACAATTCCTAATACTATTTAAAGAAGTTTGTTCTATATTTAACTTAAAAGTAACATTTGCTTTGTTGATTTTATGAACCCTATTATCAAACAGTACACGCCACCTTAAAAAACAGCCGCTGAACTCTAAGATTGGTAATCTTAATTTGTGAAATGGGATACTAATCCTTTATTGATGTGATCCGCCTCATGTCGTGACTCTTTATTTTCATTACCGATCTTGTTTGTAATCTCCTTCAACCAACCAAAAAGTATCCGCAGTAATTGCAATTAATTTGGAGTACCCTTAGATAAGTTGCAACAATCAGAAAGCAGTTGATGTCAGAAAATACGTTACCATGCAACTCACTACGTAAATCGTCCCTAACTACCTGCAGCATCGATGACGCATTTCATCCCCTTCATCCTTCGGATTTCGGAGAGCAGGTAGGGAAGGACCCTCCTAGTCACTGCACCACCATCGGGTATAAAAGGCCGAGCAGCCAGACCAACTGCATCATTCGATCAACAGTTCTCCATCCGAGCAGATCATAAGTAACCAACCTGCAAAATGTTCGCCGAAACCGCTCTTGTTTCCAACTTCCATGGAGTGCCAGAGAAGAAATCTCTTACCGGCGCCTCCACCAACCTGAAGAAGCTGCTGAAGACCATCAAGAAGATCTTCAAGAGCTCAAAGCCTTCAAAGGAGACCCCGATCACCAACATCATCTACTCCTGCAATACTGAGGAGGAGCACCAGAACTGGCTCAACGAGCAACTGGAGGCCATGGCCATCCATCTGCTCCACTGAGTTCTTCTGGGACATCTCCTCCATCGAGTAACTGTGATGTGACCCAATCAGAAGGTCTATAAATCTGCAATCCGGCTTTAATCTCCAACTGTGATGATGAGAACACGAGACTGACTTGTGTGCCTTGGAGGTGACAACCTTCGTCGCCTCCGCCTCTGTACATATCAAACTAGCTGCTAAAATGTCTTCAATCATGCTTTAATGTAGTCTAAGTTAGTGTAATCATTGTCTTCCATTAGTTTTAAGGAAATCATTGTCTTCCATGTTTGTTTGTTAGGGTAAAAAATAGCTTAAGAATTAAAATCCCTCCAGGGGAAAAAAAGAACTTTTGGTATTTTATATTCTTTACTGACTTAGAGATGCCTAAATAATTCATTGAAAAAATGGAGTAACATATAACAAAGTATTAGTAAAGCCAAACCAATTTTCAATATGGTCACTTCCTATTACTTATTTTTAAGTGACTATTCTTTCCTGGCCTATGTCTTGATTGGAAATTACAAGTACCAATAGGTTTCACTCATCTTCATGTATGGTGACCAAATTAAAAGTGAAAAAATACTTCAAACGAAACGGTCGAAAAATATATATTATATATAAAAAACCTAAGTTCTTTAGCTATAAATTAAGCGAACGAGTTTTCCACTTACATATAACTGAAGTCGCATTAAATTAATGTTTGAATTTATTATGACAGTAGTTATGTTTTGAAACAATTTTTTTGTACGAGTGTATTTTTGTAAGAATTGGTTGGTTAAATTCCACATCGGAATATGTATATTACATTGAAAAAAGAAAAACTAAAACAAAACCGACTTTAATGGCAGTTAGTTGCATAAAAACCGCTATTTTCAAAAGGTTGGGATTTCACCGCCGCTCAGTGGCGCCGGTGTCCCGCACTTATCGAGTTCGATTTCGGAACCATGAGTCCCGCACAGTCCCAGTGCAAATTAATCGATAGACGAGCAGTTGCCCGCGCGTTTGGCTCCGTTTCAAACTGTTTATTTATTTCAACGCTTATAATAAAAGTTGCTGTAACAATACACATTCGATATATGTATATATAAGTATATATGTTGGAAGTGCACTTGGGTTTCGTTATCCGTGTAGGTGATTCGGGTGAGATGTATGTCTGTTTGTCACTTGCTGTCTGGTTTGCTGCATTTGATCGGAAGAGTTCTGACAACTTTCTGGAAGATGAAGTATTTATATGCGGTTTCGTCGTTTGGGGTTATAGTTTTTGGATCCACCAGTGGCATGTAGAGTTGGAGCGCGGGTACAAATGCAGATGGCAAGACCGAAACGGAAGAATCAATTTCTGAGTGGAAGCCGACTTTGGATTGCAGGATTGCTGGATTGCAGGATTGCTGGACTGCGGTGCTCGTTGCTCGTTGCTAGTGCGTGTTTTTCACTTTTCCTAAAAACATCTCGAAAACGCTGAATTTCTCTCTTGTATTAGGTGCAATTATCTAATATCAATATTTTGTTCGTCTAAAACCAAAAACGGAACGCTGGCCAATTGTAGTTCGTCTGAGTCTAGCAAGCAGTTCGCCGCCCATCTCCGATTTCCCGATGCTCGGCACTACGGATAGTCCACCGAGTCGCTGTCGAGGATCGTGGAGGAGACCCTCGAGGCGCGCCGGTGCCAGTAGTCCGAGTAGCTGGCCTCGTACTGGGCGGCGGTGCGGTGCCACGGTGGCCATTTCAGCTATTCCTCGACTATGTCCCACACCATCAGGGACGCGTCTGTGCCGCCCACGGTGATGAGCGTGTGGTCGCCGCACAGGAAGCGGACGCAGGCCAGCATCCCGGAGTACACCTTCGACTCGTGGAACTCGGCGCGCGGCGAGATGCACGGATATCTGCATGAAACGGGTTAGCATTAGCATAAGACTAGAAGATCTACTCTCTTATCGAGTAACTTAAACATGACTTAAGTAACAACTCACCTGAACAATCTCAGATAGCCCTCGGCGTCGCCGGATGCGAGCATGTCGTGGGCGGCGGAGCGACTGCAGGTGGCCACGATGGTGTTGGTGGTGCTGTAGTAGCGATTGCTCCACTGGCCGGCCACCAGGAAGCCCACGGTGCAGTTGTTGGTCAGCCACTTGACGTCCTTCATGGCAATGGGACTGCGCTCCGGGGACAAGGACTTGGCGTCCCAGAAGAGCAGGTCGAAGTCGATGGTCACCGTCTGCACGAAGTTGCCGTCCATGCTCCAGTCCAAGTGGGTCAGCGGCTGCGATCCCCGGATCTTGTTCACCTTCTTGTACGAGAAGCCATCGCGCGACACGCGGAACAGATAAATGCTGCCGTTCTGGGAGCCCATGGCTATCATGTCGCCAACTGGAAAGCAGTTAAGATAAGAACATATTTTAAAGGTTTTAAAGATCTATCCCATTGCTGATCCCAGCCTGCTGTCTCACCCTGGTTGTATGCCACGCAATTAAGGGGCGAGCCGCAGACCCTGAGGGTCAGCATGACTGCCCCATTCTCGCAGTTGATGACCAGCAGGTGACCTTCGGTGCTGCCGGCGGCCAGGGTGCCGAAGGGATGGAAGGCCAGTGCCACGCACTCGTAGCCCGTTTGAATGGTCCAGATGAGCTTGTTCTTGCGCCAGAGGGCCACGTGCTTGTCGTGCCCGGCGGTGGCGTACAGCTCGTCGTCCGGATGGGCAGCCAGTCCCCACAGCTGGCGTCCGTGGCCAAAGACCACCTGGGTGAAGCGGCGCTGCAGCGAGCCCTCCAGGATGTTGTTCCGCGTGGTGCCCACGTAGATGTTCCCGTCGTTCCGCCCGGGGCGCTGCGGATAGATGGTGCGCACTCCGCCGGCGGCCTCGGGGAGCTGTGCTTTCGAAAAGTTCAATGACCATGAAGATTGCAATCCCATGATTAGATATGTTGATTGCCCTCACCTTAGTGTCGGCAATCTTCTTGTAGTTCTGCAGGGAGTCCCAGGCGGCGATCTTGCGATCCTTCTCGCCTCCGGAGAGCAGAGTGCCCTCGCCCAGCATAATGAGGCAGCCGATGCCCTTGTTGTGGGCCTCGAACTCCGTGCGCACAAAGTAGGCGCCGTCGGAGTCCACCGAGTAGATGGTGATGAACCCATCCGAGTCAGCCGTGATCACATCGCCATCCGGCTCGAACTGCACACTGGTGACATGGGAGCGCGACGGCTGCTTCACGATGTCCGTGCGCTCAAAGAAGCCATCCTTGCGCCGGTGCCAGAAGGCCAGGTGGCCCCGTCCGTGGGTGATGATGAGATTATCGTCCAGCGGGTGGAAGGCAGCACCCGACAATCCCTCCTGCAGGGTCTGTAATTGAGTCGAGATTCGGAATTAGGGCGCTGCCCAAGTGGGCTGGATTAGGCGGACTTACGGCCACTTTGCCCAGCAGGTGACCCCACTGCCACTGCCACACGGACAGAATGCTCTCGCGTCCACTGTCCACCGCCAGTATGTAGCTGCCTCCGTTCTGCGGCGGAATTCCACTGGTTAGTCATTAATGGGGCTTTTATCCGGGGGGCAGGACTTACCAGCTGCGAGAAGGCCACTGCGGTCACCCCGCTGTCCAGTTCGCCCATGCCGAAGACGTAGAGCGTCTGCAGGGACTCGGTGCTCCAGATGCGGACGTGCGCCTGCGACTTGCGATCTCGTCCAGCCTTCTGTCCCGACGCCACCAGCTCCCTGGAGGGATGCACATCCATGCTGGAACAGAGGGCCCTACATTAGGAACTGCCTTTTGATTTAGAGACATGCCACTTCAAAATCCAAGTTGAGTTGTGGAGTTTGGAACTTCAGCCTTTGGCTGAATCAACCACCATTCAAGCCAGATGTTTCCGCTGAGTTTCAGCTAGGAGCCCTTCCCATCACTTACCACATGATGTCCTCGGTGTGTCCGGTGTAGTGCCGCTGGGCATCCTCGTCGCGGTCAAAGAGAACGGCCACGGCAGCCACGTAGTAGAGCAGTTCTCCGGAGGGCAGAACCCAGAGATTTCGGCGCGCGTCAATGCCGCGGTAGCCATGGCTGAAACGGTCAAATCTCTGTAGGAATGGTTTGAAACGAAAGTCGGTGCATATACATACACCCATTGGAGCTGCAGTTTTTTGTCCGGCGGGGAATTGTCCGCCGGCGCATGGTGAACGGGCGGATAGAAGGTGCGCCGCAGCCCCCGGATGGTGACCTTGGTGGGCTCCTCCTTCATGATGTCCAGCATCGTGTACTCGCCGTTCGGCCGCAGGATCTCGCTCTCCGGAGCGTACAGGATCCGTGGTCGGCTCTTGCTGCGCGGACGCGCTCCTCGCAGCGGCACCTTGGGCAGCTCATCCGTGGGCAAAATGGGTGCGGCGGCCACCACCGAGGGGCGCGACCTGGAGCGCCGGATGGGTGAGCCGGCAATCAGGGCCGTTCCCGTGGCCAGGTAGAAGGTGTCCACGTCGGCGAACTCGTTCCGCAGCTGGGAGAAGCTGCGAACCTAGAGGGCAAATAATATGTTATTATTATTACAGAAATTATTGTTAGTTATTGTGAGCTAGAAGACAGCACAATATTCATGCTGTTTGGTTACAAATCAATACCCTAATTTGTGGCTTTTGATCGCCGTGCGTGGAGGCAATTGGCCAGGCAATTTTGCAGTCGGCCAAGTTCGGTTCTTCATTAAGTTATTAGGCCGTGTCAAGGTCGCCAGTTAGCAGCCCACCCCCTGGAATTGTGGGTACATACCTCCTGGCCAGTGCCTGTGTACATTTTCTTTGCTCCGTTAATTTTCAGCACTTGACCCAAATCCTCGAGCACTTCCTCGAACGGCTGCGAGGTGCGTAGGTTCAGCAAAACGCGGCACTGGAAGGAGGGAAACAGGGTATAGATTTGTATATGTGTACAATCACGTGTTAAATCTGGACGGGTAATTAGTCTGGCAAGTGGCTACATACATACGTACATACGTATGTGCCACGCGGCCCTTTCAACACATTTCACTTGACCCGCGGTCAAAAATTTAGCCGTGGCACGCAACTTCCGTTTCCCTCTCCCGATTCCCCCTAGGTTCTAGTAATGCTTATAATTATATGTTGTCGTCGACTCAAGTCCTCGCCGCATCCTCAGCCACATCCACTTCCACATCCACTTCCCTTTGAGGCTTGCCCCACTAATCGAGTCTGTGACCCAGTTTGCGTTTTCTTTTAATGCTTAATACATTTTATTTGTTGCGAAAAGCAATCACGAGAAAAAATGTGACAGTGCTCCGGAAAATTCTGGGATGTAGCACTCACCAGACCATTACTTTCTATAGATATGAGAGAAAATGCTAAAGTGTAGGAACCTGTAA